CCATCCCTCGCTTATTAAGTACCGTATCAGCAATCATTCGTAGTGATTCATTATTTTGTAAAAGCAAATACACATACTAGTATTTGTGCAAACAAAAAGAAACCCTCAAGATTCGGAAAACCACTCCTGCAGGCAGCCAAAGAGTCTCACAAGCAACAGCTAATATAAAGATGTAGCATTTCCTTTAGTAATCGAACTTTGTTCGAAGAAAATAACTGAATAAATGAATAAACATAAGCGAGATATCAGTTGGAGTGCGTAATGATTCATGGAAACCAGATGCTGTCCATAATGAATCGATGAATGAATGGAATAGTCAATGTAGCAGATATTAACATGCACGTTTTTCCATTGAAAAAAGTCTCACACACCTCTGTGTATCTCTCTATATGTACATCTAAATGTGTCTCATATACAGATAAACATAAATACAGATAGTTTTCCGCTAAGCGTCTAGCCGTTGAGATTCGCGTGAGTCATACAAGACATTTCCATTTGCCTCAAAATATCAACAGATTGTTTAAACAAATAAGTATCTACATAAATGGCAAAAGCAAACTTGTTTTTTCCTTATAAAGAATTAACTTTTCTCTTATAAATTTATTTTCTCTCCAATAAAGGGGAAAGTGTAAGGAAAAGTGTATGAATATATTGAATCATGTTCGAGCTGGAATGTAAAATTATCTTAGGGATTCCTATTCCTATCTCCTAAGAGATAAAAGTATTAAGCACCCGAGCAGATAAATCTGTAAATTCTTATATGTAATTCTCATAATTCTCCCTCTGTTTTCCGATCCGTTGAATCCAATTACAGTCAGCACTACTCAGAGAGCAGCTATATTATTATCATTATATATTCTATGACACTCTCGAGTCCATGACCGGATTACGCATCCTCCCATCTCCTCCCGCCCAACGATTTGTCCATTTATTTGTTTGCACTCGTTTGTGTGAGGGGGTAACATTGAATTAGTCATCAAGACACATACTATGAGGATTGATAGTTCTTATCACCTTTCAGATATCATTTCAAATCTCTGACGTAGCTGTTGTCCGGGTGGAAGGAAGAGCCCAGTCACGCATTACCGCCTGTGTAAGATAATGAGCTTTTGTTAAAAGTAAAGTAAAGTGTGTGAATAACACAAATTATAAAATATAAATTAATTGGCGATTTGTATTATTAATTTAGAGCCACAAGCAGCCGCTACTTTGTCCATCCAAATTCCGTTGTTCTTTTGCTCTAATTGAATTTTTTATAACATTGTGACCCGTGCTCGTGCTACCGCTACCCCGCCACAGGTAGTCCCTTTGTGGCGCCACTTGGCAGTGGCAACAGCACACGCGATTTCTGGGCTAATGACAGCCTTGGCAGTGAACGAAACGAACTGATATTTGTTGATGTTTCAACTACACACAGCGAAAAAAAGCACTGAGAAAGTGATATTAATTGATAATACATTAAAATCCTAAGAATTCGCTGCCGAGAATGGATACAAATTAAAATTACATTATATTAAATTCCTCGAGTGTTTCTTTTTTCTGTGTTATTTGCTGAGTGTATGTGTATGGGAATGGCCAGTAGAGCGGACTTGCGGGGAGTGCTACAGATGTGGCCGAACTGACGATTAAATGATTCAGATTTGCACTGATTTCCCACACTTCCCCCCTTCACTGTTGCTGTGACGTCTTGGTCTGCCACAAGACAACAATTAGCGTTAGAAATTACATTATAAAATGGAGATATGGGAGCACAATGGAATGGGAGGCAGAGCTCAAATTGCAGGCATTTTCCGCAAATGGAAAACGACATTATTGGGGCATGCTTCACGTCACAGCAGACTGTAATCACGAATAGGGGAAAAGGGCTGACTCTCTCTCTGTACACATTTACTCGAATGTGTATCCGGATCGAAACTTATGCAATATATTCGGTAATTGAATCCCAAGAAGTGGCCCCTTGGCACCCTATTTTACAGAGGTAGACTTGACCCTGTTTAAAAATTGGATTGCTCGGATTGCTCAATTGTAATCGGATGCATCTACCAACCAACGGATTGCCCCTGAATGTGAACTCTTCTCTGGATCATGGATCATGGATGATGAGGCTTCTGTTCTGTTTTGTTTTGTGTCTGTGGATAAGGATTCCACTTGCCAGTTGCCACTTACTGAATGATCACAGAATCAACATAAACAGAGTGAATATTTAATGATTCATTTGCTGCTGTTGCTGTTGCTGCTGGTTTCTGGAGTAGATCCCCCCCATCCCTCCGAAGTGCGTATGCGGTGGCCTGCAATTGGGGGCAACAAAGGCCCCACAGCTGCCACAATCGCTGCTGCAGCGGAAATGTTTTTGCTGCTGCTGCTGCTGAATGCTGCCTCTCCTCCATTTATCATTGAATAAATTGCAAAATAAATATACAAACAAAAGTAATAATAATAATAAATGCAATCACGCAGGCCGAGGGATGAGCAAGTGGCTGCTGTCCACCCACCCAAGTGGAATGGATTGAAAGGAAAACATTTATATATTATGCATATAGGCCATATTTATCTGATCGATTTGGAATGTGTGGTGTGCTCTCTCTCTCTCTCTCTCTCTCTATCTCTCTATCTCTCTCTCTCTCTCTCTATCTCTCTATCTCTCTCTCTCTCTCTCTGTGGACTGTAAATTTCGAAGATTCCGGCATTTATTCTTGTTCAGGCCAAAGATTCCGTGCTGCTGCGAGATTTGGCATCAACGAAAATAGATGCCCAAATGGAATTGCACAAAAATTGTACCCCCAGAGGGGTAGGCGAGTGTCAGCGTGTGTCTGTCTTTGTGTTATTTGTTTGTTTCAGTGTTTAAATATAATTCCCTCTGCTCTGCCTCTGCTCCTGCTCTAGAGCAGCATGCGCAGACGTATCTGAAACACCAACTCCTGCACGCTTTTCTTCAGGAGTATCACCATGGACAGTGCGAATCCGAGGAGGCTGAGGCAAAACAGCCAAGGCGTGGCCAGGGCCACTGTGAGAAAGACAAGAGTCTCGGGCCCACGGGCATTAGCCATGCACCACAGCAAATGGCGCTGGGTGCTGCGCAGCCTAAACTTGTTGTTCCACAATCGCAGGCACACCGATCCGACGTTTTCGGTGAGGCCCACCGTCCGCGTGGTCAGACCGAGTGTTGAGTGGCACAGCAGCTGCAGCACCAGCAACATGCCCTTGACCGCAGCGGTCTCCGAGGCGCGATGGTATGTTGCCACCAAACGCTCGCGATGCTCCGGCTTGAATTTCGACAGCACAAGATCGAGGCGAGACTTCATACGGCTGACTGTGGGTGGTGGGCGGATGCTGAGCTCCTCCGTTTCCGAGTCTGTTTCAATGCGGTCTGCCAAAGGGAACCGCTGCTGGCTCGGGCTCTGACAGAGGCAGGGATCCTGTTCCTTCACCTCTTTGGGCATCTTCAAGAAATCGCCCTCGTAGGAATTGATGCGCGTGGATCTGGGAGTGCTCGTATAAGGTGCTTCTGTCCGGTGGGAGCTGCCCATAGGCTGCTGGCTTCCCAGCCTAGCCATCTGTGGCACAGCATTGAATCTGCAGGAAGTCAAAAGAGTCTCAGTTATGTGTGTGGGGTGCAGATGGGAAGTCTGTGATCTTGCCACTTACCCATCTAAATCTCCCCTCTGAATGGGGGACAAGGACACATTGCGACCCATTGTGCGGGAGAGCAGGGGAATGGTGTGAATATTATTAAGAAATGGCATCGAATTGAGTCCATCCTTGTCGGTGGTACCGGGACCTTCGCCCTGCTGCTGCTGCTGCGGATGGTCATTCGCGTTGAAGGATGTCAGGAATCCAAAGGTCCTCTGTGTACGGGTGAAAGTGGAACGTGGATTGTTCATCGTTGCTAATTTCTTTCTTCTTCTGTTTTTAGACTCTGTGTGGAAATACTTATCTTTGTCAATTATTTTCCCAAAAAAATCGGATTTTTGTTTTACTTTTTATTCGAGCTGCTTTCAATATCTGTTGCTGCTGCCTCTGTGTTGATATTAACTGATTCTCAGTCACAGTTTTAAATGTTTCAAAAGGATAATTCAGAGCACACTTTGATGCACAAAAAAAGGGCAAACGAAAACCTTTGTAACAGTTTTTTCTTTTGCAGTTTCAGTAGTGGCGAAGGAAAACTTTCCATCATGTTTCGGTTAATACTATTTGGATGGCTGTTGGCCTGTATGGCACTGCTGGTCCACTCGGAGCTCACAGAATTGGATGGCCCCAATATATGCAAGCGCCGTGAGAGGTAAGTAGTCCACTCGGAAGTTTAATCTTAAACTTATAATTTCCATTAACATTCCCATAGCTACCCCGTTGAAGTGGTCTACACGGAAATGCAGTCGTACCAGGAGCGTGGCTCCAATTGGTGCCTCACCATACCACCACGCTGCTCCACGTATCGCATCAAGAATCGTATCGTAAACAAGACCAAAACGATCATAAAGAACCGCATTGTGCGTGACTGCTGCGGTGAGTGGGAGGAGCTCCTTCTCTTTGCGAATCTTCTGCTAATTTTTGAGCTATATTTCAGATGGCTACGTGTCCAGCGGCGGGGAGTGCGTGCCCCACTGTACGGACCATTGCGAGCACGGCAGATGCATTGCCCCCGAGAAGTGCAAGTGCGATCATGGCTATGGCGGCCCTGCCTGTGATATAAGTTCGTTGAACCATTTGACTACTCTTTCTAAACCCCTAGCCCCCCTCCTAACCCTATTTTATTTTTGTTTTTTGCGTGTTGAAATCTGTACAATGAAACGCCTTGGGGTGGGGCCTCTGGGGGTGTAACCTTTTGCTTAATCCCTCAAACGAAAGCCCTTGCAGAGTGCTCTGACAGAGCAGATTCAGAGCTAGCCATGAGTTATAAATACATTCCGAATACTGTAAATGCCAGGACAGGGGGATAAAACATAAGGAAAAGTAGTGAAAAACAGGAGCATAGCAAACACCAAGAAGGGAAAGGGACAATCCACACAATATGTATACACAGGAGGATGAGGAACGGGAGGGCATGCCGCCCATCAGCATTCCCACATTCGGGATACCCAACGAACCAGAGCTGCTGGACGTGTATGAGCTCTACCGCCCATCGATGGCCACACGGCGGCTGGTCAGTGAGCAGAATCGTGAGCTCTACCCAGAGGCCTTCATCGAACACGAGCGACTGGGCACATTGGCGGATTTGTGCGTGCGGGCGCTGGCCAAGAGCCAGGGCACTGTGCACATTGCAGTACCCGTGCGGGAGGATCCGCTGAAGCTGCGCATCCACTACGACTCCATTGACGTGGATCTGCCGCTGCAGGAGTGCTACTTCGTGGAGGATTTGCGTTATTGGCGGCGCGTGGTGCTGGCCAAGAGCTCGGACAAGTCGCTGGTGCTGAAGAAGCTCTTGGAGTACGACTGGCGGGGCAAGGGGATCAGTATCAAGTACGTGGAACTGGTGGAGGCATGTCCGGCGGCCTTTTGGCCGGAGCATGAGATGGCCGCGCTGGCGGCACTCGTTCGGGAACATGTCCGTACCATGGACATCCGCCATCTGCAGTCCCACACTGATGAGAGCTTCCAGCAAAAGATGGAGAGCAGCGGCTCAGAGCCGGAAGTGACGTCGGAGGAAACCGAGGAGCTGTTCATTTCCAGCGATGAGCGGAACACCTCATCACTGTTGTCCGATGAGCAGGAGGAGGAGTGCTCCGATGAGCAGTCTGCAGTGGAGAAAGAGGAGCTGCAGCAGTCCGCGTCGAAGCTCAAGCAGCCAAGAATCATGTTTAATGAAATGCCATACGACGAGGAGCCAGAGAAGGCTGCGGAAGGACACGCTGAGGCAGGGTCCATTCAGCAGGATCGACGCATGGGGCGTGCTGTCCGCAATGAAGTGCGCCAGCAGCTGCGGGACATGCAGGCGGCCAGAAGGGAGCAGCACGAGCAGCGGATGCGCCGTCGTTCCCTTATGCGCAAGAAACCCGTTGAGGAGCCGACAAAGAAGCGCCGTAAGAGCCGTAAGACGACCGTGGGAGTCTTCAACATGAAGGTGGAGGGCGAGAAGGAGGACGTCGAGGAGAAGATCGTGGACAAGCGCCAAAAGGAGAAGCTGCTGAAGCGCATCAAACGCTACGACTACCCCGCGGAGCACTGCCACCACATCGATCTGAGCTTTGTGCGCTTCTTCGATAATCTCGTGTCGTTGATCCTAGAGTTCCTTGGACCACACATGGGCCGCGACTACCACAAGCGGCACCTGCGCTTCTCCCTGGAGGATATGATGCGGCTGGCCAGGGGTCTACAGGCACTCGATAAGCTGCAGATCTTTCGCCTACGCAACAGCCGCATGGATCGATTCAAGCTGCACACCCTGTGCGGTGGCCTCAAGGACCTGAAAGCTTTGGAAGTTATTGACTTTGGCTACGACGAGATATCCGATGAAAGTGGTGCCACCTTGGGCACCCTACTGCAGCGGGAGAACATGCTGAAGGCCCTGGAGCTGGAGTATAATCATTTGGACCTGCAGGCGGCCTCGGCCATTGGGGCCGCTCTGCTGCAGCAGCACCAGGCTGGAGGGACGACGCACCTGCAGTATCTCGGACTGGCCCACAATCGAATAAGTGACAAGGCGCTGTCCACGCTCGTCCACTACATCACGGGCACCGAGCATGTGGCGGAGCTCAATGTGACGGCCATTACGGCCCGCAAGGAGGCGGTGGCCGAGAGTCTGGGCTACTTGCTGCGCAACCATCCGCCACTGCGGCGACTGGACATAGCAGCCATTCCGCTGAACGGCGCTGTGGGACGGAGACTTATCTGCGCCCTGGAGCACAACCAGAAGGTCACGCACTTTGACTGCCGCGGCTGTGATCTGGACAGCGACGAGGAGTTCGAGGCAGCCATCATAGTGAGACGCAATAGCTTCCAGGGAGATCATTCGTACATAGGGGATGAGACCAAAACGGAGCAGGACATACGGGAGCACTTCAAGAGCATCAAGCACCCGCTGCTGCAGAAGCTCGAGGATGAAAGGCTACGCCAGTCGGAGTGCCTCAAGGCGCGTCCCTCTCTGATAAGCACGCCCAGCACGCTAAGTGTCAAGTCCCTGGCGGAGGAAAAGGAGGAGCTCCAAGAGTACGACATTTGGGCAGAGTTGGGCATCAAAACGAAAGCATCTGTCCCCCAAGAGGTGGAGGCTTCCGTGTCCAGCCATAGCAGAGTGTCGGACCAAGGTCCCTTTTACTTTGATCCAAATAGCTTCGACTTGGAGCAGTTCCGGGAGCACATTGAACATCCGGGCATCGGCAATCGCTATTACTACTTCAAGAGTCGAAGGCAACAAAGCTGAACATTCATTTAGGGAGTGTTAATTATTTGTTAGTTAAATTTGATCAAAATCTAAAGTCGTTAGGAGCAGATCCAAACAATACAAAAAAAGTTTATCGTTTAGGCTTCCATGTGGGACTATTAAAGTGTAATGATAAAAAATGTTAAAATGTAGGAATATCAGTGGAATTATTAGCTGTGTAAATCCTCTGCAAGGGCATGCCATCATCGGCATGCCGTTGATATGCACCACTTCTTTATAACCGTAGTCTATGTACATATCTATGTTTTTATTGTATGTGCTTGTTGTATAGCTTTATTTGCATTTAATATTTGATTTTGAGTCGAAATCTTAGTCTAACCAAGAGCACACACACCACACACACACCCAACCAATTCTAATTCACACCCAAACAAAAACGCAGTTCCCTCCGCAGAATCAGTGTTTATTCACACACGGCACGTTCTTGGAGCAGTACTCCTGGTCGTGGCGTGGCTTAGTCGCCAGCAAAGCAAAGATCAAGAACAAGATAAAGCAGCCACTAACTGTCCAAGCACCCAGTCTAACGTGTCCCCAAGTACTGTACAAAGCGAGAGAGAGCCGCTGCTAATCCAGATTGTCTCTAACTTTTTGCACGTTAGATTGTCCCTCTGGCTGGTACGGACGGAACTGCTCGATGCAGTGCGATTGCCTGAACAATGCCCTCTGCGAGCCCTTCAGCGGGGAGTGCGAGTGCGCCAAGGGCTATACGGGCGCCAGGTGTTCCGATGTCTGTCCGGAGGGACGCTTTGGCGCCAACTGCATCGAGGAGTGCCGCTGCGAGAATGGTGGCAAGTGTCATCACGTCTCTGGCGAGTGCTCCTGTGCGCCCGGTTTCACGGGTCCCCTGTAAGTGTCCACCAGATTGTGGCCAGCGAGATGAGATTCCCCATACTAATCTCCCTCCCAACCAGATGCGATATGCGCTGTCCAGACGGAAAGCACGGAGCACAGTGCCAGCAAGATTGTCCCTGCCAGAACGACGGCAAGTGCGAGCCGGAGAGCGGTGCCTGCATTTGTAATCCGGGATGGACGGGTGACGTGTGCGCCAACAAGTGTCCCGTGGGCAGCTACGGCCCCGGCTGCGAGCTCTCCTGCGAGTGCTACAAGGGAGCCCCATGCCACCACATCAGCGGACAGTGCGAGTGTCCACCTGGCTACCAAGGGGAGCGCTGCTTCGACGAGTGCCCCTTGAACACATTTGGCCTGAATTGCACCCAGAACTGTAGCTGCGAGAACGACGCCACCTGTGACCGGGCCACCGGTGTCTGCATTTGCAACGCGGGCTGGCGCGGTGATCGGTGCGAGGAGCGTATCTGCCCGACGGACAAGTTCGGGCCGGACTGCAACCAAACCTGCGAGTGCGACATGGAGCACACGGAGCTGTGTCACCCAGAGACGGGAAGATGTCAGTGCAGCATTGGCTGGAGTAGCGCCCAGTGCATGCGTCCCTGCACCTTCCTGCGCTACGGCCTCAACTGCGAGCAGACGTGCAACTGCAAGAACGGCGCAAAGTGCTCCCCAGTGAATGGAACATGTCTGTGCGCAGCCGGCTTCCACGGACCCACGTGCGAGGAGAGCTGCGCACCAGGGACCTTTGGACAGGACTGCGCCCTGCGCTGCGACTGCCAGAACGGAGCCAAGTGCGTGCCGGAGACGGGCCAGTGCCTCTGCACTGCCGGCTGGAAGAACATCAAGTGCGACCGGCCTTGCGATCTGAATCACTTTGGGCAGGACTGTCGCAGCGTGTGCGACTGCCACAACAATGCCGCGTGCAATCCGCAGAACGGTAGCTGCACCTGTGCGGCCGGATGGATGGGCGAACGATGCGAGCGGAAGTGCGATGCGGGCAAATTCGGACACGAGTGCAGTCAGAAGTGCCAGTGCGATCTGCACAACAGTCTGGCCTGCGATGCCACCAATGGGCGTTGCGTCTGCAAGCAGGATTGGGGAGGTACAATATTCGGAATCCCGTTCACCCTTCCACGCCCGCCTCTCACGTCAGATCATTTGCTTCCATTCGTTCATGAATCAAAAGAGAACAGTTCCCAATCGAATCCCTGCAGGAGAATTGCCCCCTTCTAACAGATAGATCATAGCCAACTAACAAATTGCACTCATCCATCGCATCTCATTATCCATCTCCCCATCTATCGTCTATAATTTTTGCATGCATGTCGTTTGGTTTTTACAAAATTTTAATTAGCTTTTTCTGGTTTTGCACTCGTGTGTTTCTGTTTCTGGTTTATATTTTGTCGTCCCGTTTTCCTTGTTGTCTGATGGCCAAAACCCAAGGCGTTCATTGCGAGACCAACTGTCGGACCGGTTACTATGGTGAAAATTGTAATAAAGTTTGCAGATGCCTCAACAATTCATCGTGCGATCCGGACAATGGCAACTGCATCTGCTCACCCGGCTGGACCGGCACCGACTGCAGCGAACCCTGCCCGACTGGATTCTACGGCATGGAGTGCAAGGAGCGTTGCCCAGAGATTTTACACGGTAAGTTGTGTTAGTAAATGAATCATCCAAAAGCTAATACTCCCATTGCTTTGTAGGTAACAAGAGCTGTGACCACATCACCGGAGAGATACTCTGCCGCACTGGATATCTGGGCCTCACCTGCGAGCATCCGTGCCCCCCTGGACTCTATGGTCCCGGCTGCAAGCTCAAGTGCAACTGCGAGCACGGTGGCGAGTGCAACCATGTGAGTGGACAGTGCCAGTGCCTGCCCGGCTGGACGGGGGCCAACTGCAACGAGTCCTGTCCCACAGACACGTACGGCCAGGGATGTGCCCAGCGCTGCCGCTGCCTCCACCACAAGGTCTGTCGGAAGAACGATGGCATGTGCATCTGCGAGACCGGCTGGACCGGCACCCGCTGCGATGAGGTGTGTCCAGAGGGCTTCTACGGCGAGCACTGCATGAACGCCTGTGCGTGTCCATCGGCCAATTTCCAGTGCCATGCGGCAAACGGTTGCGTCTGCCGCAGCGGCTACACCGGGGAGAACTGTGAGGAGCTGATTGCATCCCAGCGCATAGCCGAGGCCAACGATAAATGTGAGTCATCCTCCATATGACATTCCTCTTATTAATCCACTCTATCTTTCATGTGTTTCAGCAGCGGGACGAGCGAGCGTTGCCCTAACCCTGGTACTACTCACGCTCTTCGCCTTCATTACATTCGCAGTCTTCTTCTACTACCGAAGGAGGGTCTCCAATCTGAAAACGGAGATCGCTCACGTGCATTACACACACGACACGGCAACCACCTGGCCGCCCAGCAATCACAACTTTGATAATCCCGTCTACGGCATGCAGGCAGAGACGCGCCTACTGCAGAACAATGCGCGAAAGATGAACAACTTGGACCAGAGGAGCACGTTGAGCACAGAATACAGCGGTGACGACTCCAATGCCAGTGGCAGAGGTAAGATCGGATAGATCTACATATGTCTTTGGTTGTTGGCTAACGATTTCATGTGTCCATCCTCAGTGGGAAGCTACTCGATCAATTATAACCACGATCTGCTGAACAAGAACCTAAATGCGGACCTAACGAATCCGAACGTGTACAATGATTCACTGAAGGAGGAGCATGTCTACGATGAGATCAAGCACAAAGAGGGCTACAAAGATCCCGGTAAGCTGTCAGATAATTCTCTCCAAACTTTTCTCGACGCTTTTGCAACTAATCATGTATTCCACATTTGCATACATTTTGGCCAAAATCAGTGAAAATTTATAGCAAGATTTTGTTTCCAGAGGGTAAGCGGGCGATGCTGTGTATTTTGAGTGCTTTGTCTGGCCCATTTTTATTCAGTCTTGTCCATTGTCAAATGTGAACTTAGTTAGAAACTTAGTTTCCAGAGTTTGATAACTAAAACGATTTCTTCTTTACAACTTTTCATAGGGGAATACGATCATCTAGACTACTCACGGCCAAGCACTTCGCAGAAGCCCCACTATCATCGCATGAACGACACCATGCTCAACATCAATCACGATGAGGAGAAACCCAACAACCTGAAGAACATGACGGTGCTGCTGACGAAGCCAGAGCCACCCACAGAGCCAGAGCCGCAGCACGAAAGTTTCGATAATACCAACATCGACAATGTATCGACTGCCTCGCCCAGCTCCAGTCCGGAGTTCCGCAAATAAGGAAGCACCACACACACGCACACCCAACAGTCACGTGGATATGTTTTAAGTTGCAACTGCTGCGAACCATGATATTTTAAAGGGTCTGCATTTTAGCCTAATTTATTCGATAGCATTTTAGTTATGTATTTTGTCTGCCTCTTCGTAGAATGAGCGTCTTGCATTCGATATATTTGTATGTACAAATTTGTATGTATTGTTTCATTGCTCGTCAATTCGTTCAGAATATGTCAGTAAGATGTGTATGCTCAATTTGTATTGTAAATTGTTATTCAGGGGGCCCTATACAACCCAGAGTGTCGACCTGACTTTTGTAAATGTCTTTCGTTTTATACATACACCTTTGCTCATTATGCTCATTCAATTCATTATACACATAAACGACTTATACCCTAAGTAAATACGTATACAAATAAGTACCTATACACCTCTTCCTGTTAAGAAACGATTGTGCATTGGATGTCTGTCTCCAAGAGAAGCTGCCCCATATCGAAGGTTGCAATCATTTTAAACACGAGTAAAATACGAGTATATACAAATTGATATCAATAGCATGTTAAGCATCCGGTATTTCTATTTTTCATAAGACACATATTTGTAGAACTGAATTCGCGGGGGAAGTGTTGAACAAATTTGGGGTAAAGAATATTGTATTTTAATTGTCTGTAATATGAAAACGATTGGCCAAAATGGTTTAAAATGTTTTTTAGATCAAATATTTACACGTAGCACGTATTGTTTTCAAGTTGTAATCCAAATATTTTAATTCAAAATATGTATGTATGTATGTAGTTGATAGATTACTGTTCATATAGATAATCGGTCTTAAGAAGGCGAAGATATCAAATAAAAGATGTATGAATATTTTAACAAAAAATCAATTGTGTTTATTATGGGAATGGGAACGACAAAATGTGCGATTAAGAAAAAAAAAATGCATTTCGAAGCAGCCAGCTCTTGACACTGTGTACTTTGCAATTTCATAGGAGCCAGCTTTTGACACGGTGAAAAAAACATAGAAACCAGTTGCCTTCTGCTGATTTCTGTTCGCCTGGTACTCGGTCTGAAAATGTTCCAGTTTTCGGCCATTGGAGCGAAGCAATTTTAAAAGTTCACAGTGGCTCCACAACTCTGAGCGGTCAATTTGCGAACTACACTATTTTAGTTCAAGAAGTGGCCGTCGTGATCGGGGGCGCCACTGTGTACAACAACTTTTGTTGTACAACAATATAAATTGACAACAACAACAGGACAGATTTGTTTTGTTGTTTTCTCCTTTATTTGTGGGCCGACCTGGACGTGCCACACCTCCTCGTGATCGGCACAATGTCCTTTATCCTTTGCAATCACTTCGGGTGAAAGGACATTAAGGATAATGCCATTTTAACGTTGTTTTTAAATATAATCCCTACAACGCTAAAGCTCGGCTGTTTCCTTTCGGATATGGACATGCCATGCCTCCTCGTGCTCGGAACAATTTCCCGGATCCTTCGCAATGACTTCCGGTGCAAGGACATTAAGGATAATGCCATTTGAGTGTTGTTTTTGTTTAGAATCCCTACAAAGCTATAACACGGCTGTTTCCTGCCGGATCAGGACATGGCATGCCTCTTGGCGAGAGGATTAGTCTCCTGTATCGCTGAAGTCCATCAAACACCCCAAGGACCTCAGGGTATGGCTGTTTTGCGCTATTTTGTAATTATATTTGTAATTCTTTTCAGCCTAAAAGTATGCCACACTCATGAGAACAACCGCCGCCCCCAAAAGATACTTCACAAATTTATCGCATTCCAAAAGTATGCAAACGTATTTTTTTTAGTACAAAAATCGTATTACATATATTTACAATATGGGTATTTATGTACTTATGTATGTATGTGTGTGTATGTTCTGCAGGTTAAACGTAGACTCCGCTCCAATCCGATCAATCGCATTTGCTCGCATTTGTTGGTTGGTAATTGTTGGCTGACATCGTTGCCAAAATCTGCGATTCTTTCCATTTCGTTGGTCTGCAGCGATGCTCCCTACCGACAACCGACGATTTCTTGAACTACATTTTTTCTCTGGTGGCGTCACTCCGTAGATCGACGGCCTCTGCTGGAAGTAAATTAGATTAGTTCATGTTATAACCGCTCGTTGTGGGGGCGCCAGAGTGCTGCACGTTAGTTTTAAATCGATTATTAATTAAATAGCTATAAATCCACCATAGGAAACTACTTTTAAATCTATTTTAAGTTTAGTCGCTACAATTGTTTCGTTTTCCATTCATTATGAAGCGACTCAGCGTTTGTCGACTTTCGTCACATTTGCAATGCGATACATTTAATAACAATATTGGTGGGAAATAGAGCACGCCAGACCAGACGCCAGACGTCAGATTGTGGGGAAACCAAAGAGTGACGTGACGTAGCAGATGTTGTGACTAGTCGAGGTGTGGATCTCCCAGTCCCCCACAAACGCAAATTACTACACTCTGGGCCGGCATGTCTGCCAACAAGTGCACTTAATATATGATGACAAGCTACCGTGGAATACCTGGGAATGCCGAGTGTTATTTTCTCCACGGTTTGCAGATGTGTCTGTGCGTGTCTGTGTTTGTTTATCTGATTCCATGGCGGTGGACGGACGACGCAACGCATCGCATTATAGCTGGCTAGAACACATACTCGTATGCAGCTACTGTGGCGTCTTCTCCGGCTGCTCTCGCTTCGCTTCCCACTCCCGCTCCATCTCCGATTGCTGTCCGTGGAAAACCACTATACGGCTCTCTGTCGGGTCAGCCGTCGCCCTCTCCTTTGTCCACGAGCACGCTGGGGTCTGCGTCTGCTTTGGGCGTTTTATTTCTGCTTTTTCCGATAGCACATTTACAGTTATTTCTAAAAAACAATAAAATACAGGCATCAGCGTGGAAAAGCGCTACAAACATATGTATATACATATGTATATACACCACCGATCCGATCGTACGCTCGGGGATCTTGTTTTCGTGCTCGTGCTCGGGTTTCTGTATGTGGCAAGTTCAGATGGGCAATCCCGATGTTCTTTCTGTGCTATATTTTGGAAAACGCATCCGCGCAGCGTCGTAGTAGGCACGAAGATTCCACGGAGATCGGCTCGTGAGATTGTGATCAAACTTGAAACAGAAAGCAAACAGCAACCAGAAACCAGCAGCAACATGAGCAGCGTCGTAAGGCCTCACCATTTAAGAGTTTCGCCCTAATGTGATATTAATTGTGTTTTTGATTGCCTCTATTGGACCAGGTAGATGAGGATCTTACCCCCGAGCAGATTGCCGTGCTACAGAAGGCATTCAACAGCTTCGATCACCAGAAGTCTGGCTCCATTCCCACCGAAATGGTTGCCGACATCCTGCGTCTGATGGGCCAGCCCTTCGACAAGAAGATCTTGGAGGAACTCATCGAGGAGGTCGATGAGGACAGTAAGTGATCAAAAGTTCAGAGAAGATGAGCGAAAATATGATTCATTATTGCTTGGCATTGCCTGGCAGGGCCTGTCCGAATATTGATGATCAAATTTCACTTAGTCAGTGAGTGTCATTGATTTATTATCATCGTAAACTCGCGGCAGATAATTATCTATACTTTCGACTCAGCTCCGACAGTTTCCAGCAGTTTGGGCAGCTATTTATACATTTGTTTTTTCTTCCATAGAGTCCGGTCGCTTGGAATTCGGTGAGTTCGTGCAGCTGGCTGCCAAATTCATTGTGGAGGAGGATGCCGAGGCCATGCAGAAGGAGCTGCGTGAGGCCTTCCGCCTGTACGACAAGCAGGGCAATGGCTTCATTCCCACCACCTGCCTGAAGGAGATCCTGAAGGAGCTCGACGATCAGCTGACCGATCAGGAACTCAACATGATGATCGAGGAGATCGATAGTGATGGTTCCGGTACAGTGGATTTCGACGGTGAGTCGCGTGGCCTCCATGCCATGCAGTATTTTCATTCATTCTAGTGGCTTGCGTCTCGGTTATGCCCCACCCCAATGTTTCCCCATACCCGCACACACCCCACCAATTCACCCACCCACACACAATCTGGCAAATCATAAATTCGAATCTGATCATTGGGGCCAGCTGAGGATGAAAAAGATGATGATGATGGTTGTTCGTGTTAGTGCTGTGGGTGATCTTGAGATCGCCTCGATTATGACAACTTGATCACAGCTCTCATGGAGCATATCGCTGGCTATTTTTAGGCGCGACATACAAAATTCGATTGCCGCCTGTCCGTCCCTCCGGCACAACATTTTCCATACACATTTCTCGCCTCCGCTTCTTTATTTTCCACGCTCGGTGTTTATGGAATACGAGTATTTATTTTTAAATGCATATAGCGGTTGTTATGTGCGATATGCGCTATCCGCCTCTCCCCTCCTCTGCCATCGGTTTAATGTCTGTCATTTCGTTTAATTTACAGAATTCATGGAGATGATGACCGGCGAGTAAATAGACGCACTGCGTCTTTTTGCCCATGACCACGCCCACAACCACCAACACAGACACACAGAACACCCGATACCCATACACACATACACACATCCACACACACAGCTGCATCACATGCACACACCTATACACCTCTACACACACACACACACACACCGGTACACCTGTTGGGCACACGTTTTGACTGTTTATATTTGCACACTTGTTTCACTCCCCCTCCACGGCTGTATGCTCTTGTGTTTCGGTGGGAGTGCAAACAAATCCAACGAAATAATGCCAAATACTAGTAGAAATAGAAATTTTTGTACTACTTTTTTATACTAAAAGAGCAGCAACAACGGAAAGCTGTGTATGCAAAAAAAAATAAAGTGTTATGCGCTATGACAACAAACCAAGCAACCTGTTGTCTGTCCACTTCTTGCAGCCGCTTGCCGAAAGCCGCCGAACAGCGAACACCGCCAAGCAACCGACAAGCAGCTGAAGAAAGCTGCCGAAAGCTTCCACAACTTTTAACCACGTTAACTCTACAAGTCTACAAACGAGCATTGGCCTCGGACGCCGCCGTCCGTCGTCAGCCGTTAGCCGTCAGCCGTCGGTGGGTCGTCATTGTTGCCGCTGCTCTTGTCGCTATCGTTGCTGCCGTTGCCGTTGCCGTTGCCGTTGCTGCTGCCATCGGCCTCCGCTGCCATTGAGCGCTCAGCGTAAAGCGTTTGTACCGCTTTTGCTTCTGCTTCTACCTCCAACCAACCGAACGGAACATAACCCAAAGGGGCCACAGAGTTTCCCCCGAGCAACACACACCCCGCAGTGCCTTTGACATTGTCTTGTCTCGTGACAAATTCGAGTGAATGTGGGTACGCGCCACCAGTGTTTGCAATTGATAAAGAAGCAGCAGGATCAACCATCCATCCATCCAACATGCCGCAGAGGTAAAAGAAAGTGCTACAGTGTCTCTAGTCTACCGTTATTTATATAATAACAACTCCGCTGCGTTCTGTTTGTTTTGGCCAAAAATGAATGTGAACGTGCTAAAAGCAGCCGCCGGCACCACCGCCTCCAACACCACCAAGCGCCGGAACGGTCGTGCCTATAAAATTTATGATGGCATAAATGCTTTAAAAGCCCCAGTCAATCCGATGCGATACTCTTGTTTGTGGCCTTTTCAATTTTCTTGACATTGGCTTATCAAATAAATTATAAAACAAAAATGGACCTGATAAACGGCTGGGCGGGCGGCTGTTGTAAATTTGTGCGTATGTGTCTGTGCGAGTGTGAGTGCGAGTGCGAGTGCGAGTGTATGTGTTGGCCAGGCCAGCATTTTGTGGCTTGATAAGCTGATTTGTTTTTTTTGTTTGGGAAGGCAGGCGGTAGGCAGGCAGTCATTCGATTTTGTAATGCTTGGCCATGTCTGAGTGAGAGAGTGCTGACACGCGCTGCAGCCACGAGGCGAGTGATTCAATGCAATCCGATCAGTCCCGTCTCGTCTCCGCTTGCTCGGTCGGTGCGGACTGCGGAGTGCAGCGGAGTGGATCCGATTCGATGGGAACCCCGCCGTATATGCATACTCGTAAATGCATGCGCATGCGAATGCAGTTTGTTCGAATCGGGTAATCGGGTAAATTCTTCAGTTGGTGCGCGGAAACCAGACGCCGACGACAGCGCCGAAAGCTGTGGGACGCCGTGTGACGTGAGTCATACAACACCAACAACAACAACAACAAACAAGAACAGCTGCCGAGTGCCAATTAGCACCGAAGTTTGAATCAAATCAAGCCAAAATCTAACGCAAACTTAATTCACCAACGCAAACAAATCGAAATAATGTGAAATAATAACAGTACGTGGTCTTCCTGAGCTCTCTACTTGTTTTTTCCTTCCAGCCCCACAACGAATTGGTCGTTCCAGCCGCTCCACCGCCAGCGCAGTGGCAGCGGGTATCACCAGCATGTCCTGAACACTGTGCCGGAGACGGCTCTGCTGACGACGCCCCCGCCAATCCGCAAGCGTAAGTAAACAATTTTTGAATTTCAAACTGTCACAAGCGAGTGTCATAGCGGGCAGCTTGCAGCAGCAAATAACATTTTAGTTCGTTAACAGCACGCACATACAACAGCGACATAGCAGTGCGCCCAGAACTGTTGTCGAACTTTAGTTATTTTATTGAGCGCGCTGTTTTTCAAAAATTGTTATGATATCAGTTAACAGATATATGTATGTATATATATGTAACATACAATTACAAAGCTTCCTTGCTTACAGACGGGGAGATTTGACTGTTTGAATTTGTAAAATATAAGATCATAATGAATACAAACCAATAACAATTAGCATTTAAAATATGTCAAATTGATTCTTCAAACGGATTAAATGGTTGTTTCAGTGTTAAAAGACCTTGCAACCTGGTAATATCAAATAGAACATCAAAGTCGAGGAAAATGATTTAAGATTACGGTATATTTACAGTATATTCTGAAAATTCAAGGGTATACTTCCGAGGGTCTGTCGGTATATTTGGTAGATAATTCCGCGGTCACACTGCTTTCAGTATTTATTAAACAACAACAACTCAAATAATAACAAAATTTACAGCGCTCACAATACAAATTGCTGGCGTTGCTGAGAACAAACGAAGATACATCCCAGCGCGGAAAAAGCCGAAGAGCGCAATGAAAATGCTCGTGGACACGGAGCGGGAGGAGGCCCTGAATCTGGTACGTAAATTATAAAACCATGACAACAATCAACGGAACGGGATGGATGGACGGACAGACAGACGCAAAGACAGACATAGTGCCGTTGCCGAAATGTAGTGCAATTAATCGTGTTAATCTGTGCGTGCCCCTCTAAAGCTATTTATTGATTATTGATTGATTCTGTGTCTGCTCTTTCTTCGTTCGTACCCTCGCCAACACCCGCAAAATGCTGACTTTATTGATTTGTTCACGGAACGTGCCATTTGTCTGGTGGGACGACGACTACGACCTATTTCTGTGGCCGTTGGTTGGGTGCTCTGCTGTTCTGTGCTGTACGACTCTCTGGCGCTATCGCACAAAACATACGAACAAACCCACAAACAAATATGCAAACATTCCCGCCACAGCAAATTGAATTCGAATGGGTGCTGCGGCAAGAAGTACACGCGATATTGAAACAACTGCGAGCCATTCTGGTGGTAAGTACTATGCAAAGCAAAGCAAAGCAAAAAGCAAAACAAATCCAAGAGATAGCATAGCTAATCTGGCACCCATTCCCCACCTGTGCCACACTGGAGGAGTGTGCGCATCGATTTCCAGTGCCGCTCTACGAAAACGAGGGAAAGAAGACTGAAAAGTTCATACTCACCGTGTCGCCCGATCAGCTGAAGGCGGTCCTAACCCTAACGGGCGATGCCATAACACAGGCGGTAAGTTTAGTTAATCATTCCATGTACATATGTATGTATGTGATGACTAATCGTGTGTGTGTGTGTGTTTGTGTGCTTGCAGGATATTAGCTTTAAGCTGTGCAAAGCTCCAAGCCAAACGCAACGTACCTCAATCACACAAGACTCGCCGTGGAAGCTGCAGCAGGTTCAGGATGCCGCTAATCATCTACAGACAGCAATCAATCACATTGACGACGTTGATGATTCTTATCACTTCAAGTGAGTCACATTCGACATTGTTGTCGAGATGCGAGGTTATTAATATTCATTTCCCCCATGCTACACGCGCCAGAACCTCCGACGAAGTGCTGCATGTGATAGGCAACATTCTCGATGCGCTGCAGCGGGGCCGCACCAGCCTGCTGGTGCCCAAGAAGAAGCCCATCGACGAGCTTATCAAGGGGCGTAACATGAAGTCGCTGGTGCCCAACCTGCCCGAGGATCTGGCCGTCAGCTTTTATCTGCAAAGCCACAAGCTCATTATTGCCGTCTATCAGCTGCTGAACAACCAGGGCACGATGCGGTTCGATTCCCGGCAGGCGGAAGCCTCTGTCCAGTGGCTCAACGATGTGCTGCTGCTGCTGATGAATGGCCAGAAACTGTGCCAGCAATTAAAAGACAAGGTACAGTGTTCCGCTGCGGGGTTTCCTAAAACGAAAGATACGTTTAAACATGCTGTACAAGCATCCACACATCAATTACTTCATTTTGGGGATTTACTTTGTTTCGCTCTGATAAGGGCATTTGCTCTTGAACTGATAACTCATTGGCATCGTCATCGTACCGCCCCATAAGAGCACATGGTGTCCCATTTTCAACACCGAACCACCCACAAGATGCTGCCAAATTGTATATATGTAAATGTTGGCCGACTGCCAGGGCCATGCTGCATGCAGTTCTTGACTGTGACGCAAGTCGGCAATTAAATTGGCCCAAATGAAGATTGGCAAGTGTGGCAGCAATGAGGGGGATGGGAATATGGGATATGGATATGGGGATATGAGCAAGAGTTATTTGTGTATTTTTAATTTGACATTTGTACTCTTCCGCAGATTTCTGTGTTTTCGGTGTATAAAGATTTCACAGTCGGCTCCCGCTCGCCCTCGGCATTGTCGTACTGAATTGCAGCCTGGCAAACTGGCAGAAAGGATAGCAGACAGGATAGGATGGATACCCTGGATACCCTATCCGATAACTGTGGTGGAATCGTCGGCGACAAAAAACAATAACAACAATAATAGCTAATAAAGAATCGTACGTGTAATAGCAAAGTAAATAATGTTAGTTGAAAAGTTGCTACTGGAAAAGGCACACCCATACCCATAATGCCCATGCGTACTAAATACCACATATGTACTTCTATATACACGACAACGTTATACACATATTATACAGCTAGTTTAATATATACACAATCAGCATTCATGTTATAATACCATTACTATTACCCTATACCATATATAGCTATATAGAACTTGAGTTGAGTTCCAAATTCATCGCTTCACGTCACTCCAATTATGCATCAAAATGCATCTAAATAGCATTAGAATGATACATGAAAAACTGAGATGTGTTTTTTTGTATGTGTAACTATTGAAATTGATAGATAATTATAGTTTATTCGTATGTGTAATCTGTAATCTGTAATCTGTAATCAGTGTAATCTAATGTTAATGTACTACCCCACTATTTATGTTTGTCCGTGCAATGTAATCAATGTCAGCAGCAGTCAATCCATACAGTCAGACCTACAGTACTTAAAAGTTGTGCAGTACTTAAGGGGAAGTTACTTATCTACAATTAAATACATACAAACATACATATATTGCATATATGAACTTACATTTACATTGGCATTTACATGATATTGTTGTAATAAACCAAATCGAAATGTGAACAGAATTTTTAATTGTACTAAACACCGTTTTGTATTCGTATTTGTAATCGTAAACGTAAATGTGAACGTAACCGTATTCCGTATACCTGTTGTATATCTGTTCGTTAATGGTTAAGTGCACCTAATCCTAAAACAAAACCTAAAAAACTCTATTCCTAAATCGTAATTCAAAGTCATTTGTATCGACGGCCTTTTACTTCTCGTTAACCCTAACGTTTGTAAACCTCAAAAGTTTGTTAATAGAGAAACGCAACGAAAACAATTATCACTGTACTTATTGAACATTGCAATTGCCTATGCACCCCCGTCCCGAAATGCCTGGGACAAAAAAATGAAGACAACTATTTATGTATAATTAAGCGTACTTACTACTGTCCACATTCATTTAATTGTTGTTGAATAAAAATTACATTTTACCAGCACGTTCAAAGTTTTATCTTTCGCGCGCCGATAGACACCATCGATCGATAGCACAGCGCGGTGCTGCCTATCGAAAGCTCACAAAAGCCCATCTGTCTGGCTATCATTTGAGAGTCGGTTTGTTTTGGGCCAGCAGACATTTCAAAGTCGGCAAGCAGACAGTTTGGATTGTTACTTTTATACAGCGTTTTATCTCCTGGTAAGCGGGTTTCTGAGATCGGAGTTTGTGGCTACTTCCACGTGTCGATCGTTAGCAGTTTGCTGTTCTAAATGGACTCCTGGACTTGCAATAAAAATCGAAGTGACTAGATCAAGTGCTTTGACGTTTGAACGTCGAAATAGACAGGGAAACCAGTTCGCAGTAATTATTGTGCTGCATGTGTTGTAACCGCGAAGTCAGCCAGCCCGCGTCAACATTAGCGCATTTGTTGTTGACTTTCTGCAGCGAGTCTTTCATTGGAGTCTGCACAAAAGACGCTGCTGGCCTTTGGACTGGCGTGCTGTTAAATAAAATTACACAAAACTGTTGACCGTGGCCGAGTAACACACAAAGAGGAAATCGAAAGCCGAAAAATGAACGTTAAAGGAAAAGTTATGATACTATATCTTGGATGTTGTAAAACTAAATGCAAAACAAAACCAATTTTCCAGCTATGATAATGAGAGTAATCAGAGAAAAGGCCAGCCACTTGAGCCAGACAGAGAGCATGAATTAAATATGTGAACTAACAATACTCGGATGTTCATGTATCACCTTTGGTAGACCGGTAGAGGAGCGTCACGTAAGCATAAGACAAGACGATCATTTGAAAACCCGCCTAGTCATTCCGAAACAAGATTTGCTGACCCTCGAAGAAGGCCGTGATGAGCTGGTTTAAATGGCTTATTATATGTGTATGCCCAGGTTTAACGACAATCTCGACCACTTGCGACAGACGCGTCGTCTCATGGCGCATCAATTAAAACCATTCTGACGGAAACTTCACTTCTCAAACTTTAACTTGCATTTGGTCTCATTGAAGCACTTGTCTTGTACTTGTAGTTCCAACAACCAGTTGCCATTAACCATCAACCAGCAATGAGCAGCAGCAGTAGTAGTAGCGGTGACGGCGAGGTGGTGCTCGTAACGGGCGGCAGCGGATTTCTGGGTCAGCACATCATTAAGCAGCTGCTGGAGCGTCGCACTGAGCTGGGCATCAGGGAGGTCCGTTCGCTGGACATTGTGCCCTACAAGAACAACATTGGCCATCCGGAAACGTCCATACTGCGCACCTTTATAGGCGACATTGGCGTAGATCGCGAGAGCCTCAACCCAGTCTTTGCCGGAGTGGATGGCGTCTTCCACTGCGCCGCCTCGGTGAAGATCGAATATCCACCCAACTACGAAGAGCTGGACCGTGTAAATGTGAAGGGTAAGTTTGTGTTCGCTTGAGATTGCCAACTCCAATTTACCATTGATTCATTTCAGGCACCCTGGCCGTGGTGGATCTGTGCATTCAGAACAATGTGAAGCGTTTGGTCTACACCAGCTGCACGTCCGTGTGCTTTGTGCCCTTCAAGGGGCGCAGCACCTTCGCGGCGATCATCAATTCAACGGAATCCAAGACGGACACACCCACCCTGGACGGCGCCACGCTCTGGGAGCAGGACAGCCAGTTCCTGATTGCAGGCTACGCCTCGAGCAAGCTCCGGGGCGAGAACATTGTGCTAAACTCCAACGGAGCCCCACTCCAGAACCAGGAGGGTGAGTCTTGGCCCACTGTCCTAGCTGTCGGGTAGTGTCTTTCATTTAAAACTCTCTTGGCAGATTACTTGGCCACCTGTGCCATTCGTGCCCCGCTGACCTACGGCGAATGTGACTCGCTCTTTGTGACAAAGACCTTTGAGTATCTGTCGACGCGTGGCTGGGTCTTCCCACGGATTGCCGGAGTCGGGGGCAAACAGCAGCTGGTCTACGCCGGCAACGTGGCCTGGGGCCACCTCTGTGCCTACAAGGCCCTGAAGGTCTCCAGCAAGGCGGTCAATGGCCTGCCAGTGTTCGTCACCGACGACACGGGCATCAACGACGTATCGCGCTTCATCCAGAAGATGGCCCTGCTCGGTGAGCGCTTCAAGGTGAAGACCAGCTGGTGGTATCTGCCCCACTTTCTGTTCTTCTTTCTCGCCTTCCTGCTGGAGGTGGTGGTGCGCGTGGCTTATCCCTACACCAAATACCGTTTGCACTACTCCCCCCGTGCCATCGCCTCCTACACGTCCTCCATGCTGATGTACAATCGACTCCGCGCCGCGATACACATGGACTACATGCCACTGTTCGACGCGGATGCCAGTGCCGAGCGCAGTGCCAAGTGGTATGCCCGATGGTGGGACCAGAAGCAACAGGCCAATAAGCTCAAGAAGTCCAGCTGAGATTTGTACGGATTATCCCACAGATTATGTTGCTTACTCGTAGTTGTATTTCTGATATTGTAAGTTGCATTTTTATGTACTGCCCCTACCAACACTCCCACATCTATAGTTCAATAAATTGGTTATTGTTTGTTAACTAAACAATACTTTGATATCGGGAAACTGGAAAAACACACCACACACTCCCCCCCAACACAATGAATTCAAAACACAATTGATGTTTTATGTTTTTGAACAATGTTCATATTTGTTTATTTATCATTATGAATTAATTTATTTATTTCTCAGTTATTTTCATTATAATTTTTATTTCATATATATATATATATATTTGTTTGTCTTGGTTTTGTTTTTGTTTTTGTTGTTGTTGGTTGTTGTTTATTTTTTTGTTGCTCTAGAGCGTTTCTTTGCCGTTTGTTTTTTAAACTTATGTTCCATAGCTTAACTTATTATGCCATTATTTAATTTCATTCTGTTTAAAATCATCTTTTAGTTTTCTGCTTCTTTTTGTGTGTGTGTGTCAATGTGTGTGTGATTCAATATGCATTTAGCTCATCTGCCGATCTTTACCTGCTCGCTCTCGAGGAGTTCCCCATAGCTTACCATCCCACCCACTCCTCGTACGAGGCCCAAAGGTATCTCCTTTATCCTGCATATATGTAGATAGTATGTACTGCTGGATGTACTTCAAGTGGATGTGGGTGAGTCCCTCACTTTGTCTGCTATAAACTAATGCAATTTCGCTGCCGTCCGAGTGGGTTCTGGTTCTCTTTCCACCATTTCTTGTATGTTTTTTGGCGTGTATGTGTGTTCATAAATGTGGATGGTGTTGGTGAGAGGTGTAGTGGTGGCTGATGTTGTGGCTGGGATGTTGGTGGTTGTGGTGATGGTTGTGGTGATGGTTGTGCTGATGGTTGTGGTGGCCGCATACTTTAGTTCTCTTCTGATCGGCTCTTTTGCTCGAGGGTCCTTATTAATAATTGAATTTCTTTAACCGCCAGTTTGTTTGTTCTGTTCATCGTCGAATGCTTAACATTATTGAATTTAACTATATGTTTATTTGTTGTTCTTGGTTATATAACTATGTATATAATATATATATATATATATATATCATTTGGTTTTTTATATGTATATATACGGGACAGCGGGTGCCCTATGAAGGTTGTTTTTTGGTTTTATTTTTTGTTTTGTTCTGTTCTGCCGCTTCGGTCGTAGTAAATATACAAATTCGTTACCGGATTTCTTTATAGAAATGAAAAAATTGTTTATTAAATTCATGTTATGCTTCTATTTATGTGTATGTGTCATCATCATCATCATCATCATCATCGTCCGTCCACTTCCTTCCGTTTCCGCAGCGGCACCGCTGCTACTTCCGTTTGTTTGTTGCGGTTTCTGGTTTCTGGTTTCTTGTTTAATTATTTTATTATTATGTTCTTTTTGTTTACCTTGTATAGTTTGCTGTAAGTGTAGTACTGTACCAGTTTATGTTTTATTTGTATGTATAGACCTTATGTACACATATTGGCAATGCCTCCCGCGGCCCAACATCTCGCATCCAACATCCAACATCCCTCATCCCACCATTCAACACCCTTTATCCACCATCATCCCAATGTGTCCATCTGGGACTTACTCTCTAGACTCGCTCATTTCATATCATACCATTTGGTTTTGTGTTTGTTTCTTTAAAGTATTCGCACTGAAAGTTGTTCGAGCTCTTGGCTCTGTAGACAGTATAGAGCCATACGGCATGTCTAATGTATTTTTGTATGTTTAATTGATTCTCCTCCTGCGCCTCCTTAATTACTTTACTTACATAGGTAGAATACTTACAAACTGGGGGGGCCCTGCATCGGGGCACTTTATAAATGTATTTTCATCATCATCAACATCCTCGACGTGCAATCCAATGCCTTGTAGTTTCATACGAATTTCGAATTGCCTCGCGTCTCTTGATTCACTTCTCTTACTCTTACACTTTATCTTTATCTTTGTCTTTCGCAAAAGATTCCTTTGACTTTTATGTGTATAAAGTATTAAAATGATTTCATTTTTGCTTGGTTACGCATTTTTCTTGTAAATACAATTTTAACGCCGTTTCGCCATGTCTTCTCTTCGTTTATGTATTACTCGTACTTGTATTTGTTTTGTTTTTTGTTTTTGGTTTTTGGTTTTCTTCTTTCCTTCATTTTGTTGTATATATTAATATATAATTTTCCATATAGTATAGTGTAAAATATATAAGAGATATTGTCAATATAGTAAAGGTGTTTGTCAGCAGGAGTTCTGCCACATCGAACTGACACATTCCTGGGGGGAATTTCTTACTTATAGCAAAAATAGTCAAGTGATCGTTCGTATGAAGGTTCTTTTGTATGTAAGTATTCTTCATCGTACACACACATAAGTAATATATGTGTATATGCCGTGTTCTTCTGTCGACTGTTTGTGTGTGTGCCGTGTATGGGTGTGGTGTATGTACATATGTATGTAAAAACAAAACACAAAAAACAAAACTGAGCATAGAAATGTTGTCTTGTGTTGGTGAAAGATTGCTATCATATAAAAGCACGTCAAGTGTATGTAGAAGGCCCACAATGTGTGTGTATGGTGTTGTATGTTATCGAAGATATCGATCTTTCGATTTCCCAAGAGCCTTTTAGCGAGGCTTCAACGTGGTTGTGTCAACTGTCTCCTTGTTTGTGCTGTGGTTCGGTGAAAAGAAAGATTCTTCTTCGATCGTTAGCGCCTAGACATACATTAGTTAAATTGTATTTCATTTTATCGTAGTCGTAATCGTTATCGTAATCATTATCGTAATTGTAGTTGTATCGTATTTCTTGATGGTGTGGCATACTCATACACATAATTAGAACTGATATGTTTTTAAGTCAATAATAAGTAAGAGAAAAACGGAAAGCAATTCGTATATGGTAACTACGTAACTTCTCCTCAACTCCACTTTCAATCTATATATCTTCATGTCTGCTTCCACTTTATAACTATTTTACATTATACCTTATGTCTGTTAGTGCCGCATTTCGGGTTGGTTTTGGTTTGCTTTCCCGGCTTTAACCACCAATTGACATTTTGACTGAAAACTGCATATACATTTGTGTGCATGTATTTATGTAGCTTAAAGTATGGGTACATTATTTTTAAAAAATCTTTTACGGCATACTCTTTATACACACAATTTATCGCTCTTTGCACATCACCCTCCATTATTCATTATTAATTATTTGCTCTTCGTTCTTCGTTCTCTATATAAAATGAGAGTTTGACTTTTATAAATGTTCCTCTTTATCTTTATCTTTATCTTTGTTCTTGTTATTTATTTATTTAATTATTTTTGTTCAATTTAAAGCTTTTGCGCCTGCGCCGTCGAGGGTCGTCGCTTCTCAATCCTCTTCCTCAGCTGCCACGGTTTGTTCTCCTCCTCCTCCTCCTCCTCCGACGGCGCCTCAGTAAAAAAATAATGAAAACTGTTTTTTTTCTCTTATGTCTTTTCATTGTTTTGTTTTATTTCTAAAAAATGTATTTGTTGTTGTTGTTTTTGTTGTTGTTTGTTGTCTTTATGTTGCTCTCTGTGCTTTTGTTGTTGGTGTAACTTGTTCTAATTGACTGAAATTGATTTTGTTACAAGGACGCATTGCTTGTGGTTGAAGTTGATCCGGTATACCAATAGTTATTATTACATAAGTACATTTGTTTGTATGTTTGTATCTACTCGTACGTATATGTAGATGCTGGATGTCTTGTGAGCTGCGATCTGCAATCTGCGATCTGGTATAGCTGCTGATGAAGTTCTTTAACAATAGTAGAGCACTACAAATCAGGGATAAAGCATTTGCACTACTCGTAACGAACGTTAACAGGGAAATGCTAGAGAAAATTCAACGTTACACTTAAAGCTGTCTCTTAAGCGGACACGGGACCACACGCCCAGAACTAACCACAGAAATCCAGTTCCGGTTGCCCTGTCGACCCTCACCTGTCTCACAAATGATACGAGTACAAAAGTTGCCAGCGGCGCTACAAAGATGTACTTTTGGGAGGCACAGCTGCCTCCAAAAATCCAAAAATCAAGACTCGAGTCAGACGAACTCGACTCGTACGACAGTCGAAGGATCAAAGACCGCACGAAGATCGATCACCGACAGCAGATCAACCCGTGCACATCATCCGTTGTGCATCCATTGATTGATGCTGTGCGATTTTTTTCTTGCCTTACAATCAATCGTTTACTTTAATATATATATTTTTCTTTACGTGTAGGTGTATATATATTTTTATGTATATTTATATATTGGTGTATATTTTATGTATTCCTTTTGGGGGTTTGTTTAACTTCGCGGCTTGTTCGTCTCGAGTTTTTCTCATTCTTTTTTCGGTTTTTGAATTATTGCTTTTAGAACATGTCTTAAAAATATATTTATTTATATATTTATATGTGTATATATATGTATATGCCTTAGAAGTAGGTTTAATATATATATTTTTTGCAAATATAACATGTTTGCCCTTCTCGCTGCCATCCTTCCTTGCTCCCTGCCTTCCTCGTTAAAAATATTTGCCATTGCAGGGGCGAAGCTGCAGCTGGAATACTTTCAAATTACCCCCCGACCTGCTGAGTGCTCAGCGGAATCTGCGCTAAAGTAAACCTCATCGTGCCTGCCATTTTAATGACTCCTAAAACCCAAATTCAAATTCAAATTCAAATTCAAACTCTCTTCTCCTCTTCTATCGATATGCCCGCGACTGGCAATGTGGCCTGATCTTTTGTCTATCTAAAATTGAAGAATTCTGTCTTTTCTGCTTCAAATCTTCATTTCTCTTCTTGGTTTTGTTTTGTTTTTTGATTATACAATACATAAATGTGTAGATTATTCGGGACTATACCCGGCGGGTCATGCTCGAAGAAATTTCCGAAATTTCCAAGAGGAATTCTCATATTTTGTTTGGTTTTCCATTATGGGGAAGTTAGTTGGGGGATGCTACACCATTGTGTCTCCCAATGTTTGTTGGCGATCAACTAAACGCTCTTCTAAACGCTTCTAAATGTAATTTATGTTTCTGCTCTGCGGTTCTGTTCGCGCTTTCGATTTCTTTATAACTAGGCATATATCGTATAAGTATATGTGTTGGTGTGGTTTTGGGGTTTTGGTTTCTGTTCTCGCGTTTCGCCCCTCTAGAGGCTATATATGTGTGTGTGTGGTATTGTATGTAGGTTTGTTGTTGGTCCGAGACTTGACAGGCAAAGTCCTGGAGAGCGTTGGTTTGACAATTTGGCAAAAAAGTTATGAAAGGAACATTTTCACTGTTTCGGCATTTGCTTTAGCTTTCGTTTCGTTTCGTTTCTTTTTTTAATTTCTTACTTTTATTTCTATTCCTCAATTTGTTTTTATTCTGCTTTTCTGCTTTTACTGCTGTTTTTGTGGCTGTCTCTGTGTCTCTGTGTCTCTGCTTTTTGTTTATTTTAGTTGAAGTTTTTCAGCTTTTTCCCGTCGCCTAATGCAAAAAATCTCAGACTGACAGACAGGGAGAAAAAGCGCATCGCGTATTGTTGTCCTGTCAATTATAGAATATTTTCTATCTCTCTGCTATTTCGATTTTGGTTTTTTCCTTCTAGCGTTTTTCTTCGTTTGTTTTCTTGTTTCTTGATTTTTGTTCAATCTAATTTTCCCCCACTTGCTGTGTGTGTAACAAATGTCGTTTACTTATCTATCTGATAGGTTTTTGTTTTGTTTTGTTTTGTTTTTCCAATAATTTAATACTCCATATAGTTGTATATAAATATATTTTTCTATTATGCCCCCCGATTGCATCTCAAATACTCGTATATCTAGTACATTCCATGTCCGAGTGATTCGCTGCCGGACGGAGCGACTAGAAAAAAATTAATTGCACATAACGTGGCCTGCATTTCAGCGTCCTCTTCCTCATCTCTAACCCCAGCTAGCCATCCGTTTCTGATCCGTTTCTTTTATACATACATATGCTTGTTTACAGATACATACATATATGTATGTATGTATATATATTTAGTTAAATGTTCAAACATTTGCGATTTTGCGCGCTTGTTTTATAAATATTTTATTTACTTAATCGTACTATATGTGTTGTATGTATAATAGTTCATTGTTATATTTGCATATGCACTTACCAAGTAATTTGTTTAAGTTTTCTTTCCTTCTTTTTGATTTATCAGTAAGATCTGTGAGTGTTGTTGAGTCTTTCTGTGTCTTCTGTGTCTGCTGTTTCAGTATCTTTGTGTGTTTGCATCTCAAAAATTGTTTGTGTGTTTGTTTCTTAGATATTTAGGGAGTTATTGGTGTGTTTTCCTCTTGTCTGGTATTCGCAAATAAATTGATTTATGCATGCCACACTCTCTCGCTCTCATTGTCATAATCAATGCTTTAACATATTTGTCTAACTATCCACTGTGTTTAATTAGCATTTTGTGTGTACCTTTTTCGCTTTCAGTGTGAGCACAAACACAAAAGTTTTTTCATTCCATGAAACTAATGACAATAAAAAGGGGAACTTCAACATATTTCAATAATAACAAATTGCCTTCGACTTTTCACATTTCACATTTGCTTTTCTTTGCTTTCTTTTGTTTGTTTTGGTTAATTACTTTGGCCAATAAAGGATTTGTTGTACTTTAACATAAATTCATAAATATATGTACGTAATTGTAGCACAATACAATTTTGATTTGATTTGACTTTTGTGTGATTTATTTGAGTGCCCGCCCGAATCGAGAAATCAGGACAAATGTCGAACCGAAACTGATTTTAACATTTGCAAGAAGCTTTTCACTCATTCGACAACGATTGGTATTCTAATCGTAATCGTAATCGTAATCGTTATCGTAATCGTTATCTGTATCGTAATCGTAGACGTGTTTGATAGTACATTAATTTGTTGCTGGTTTCTGCAGTGTTTGCATTGGTTTTTTCTTTTGATTCAATTAATTTCATTTGTATATATTGCGGTTTACTTTATACGAATATGTATAGAGTATATATATATGTGTCTTGTCTTTATATATATATATGTCTGTGTACATATATCGACTTTAACTTTAAAAGTTACAACTTAGATACGTTAAGAATAGCAATAATAATGATAATAATAATTTGCATTAATAATACGCAATCAAATGATAACATTTTCGCTATTACTGCAACATTTTCTCAATTTGTTTTTCAACTTTTATCGTTTTATTAGTTTCCCCCGATCTTTTTCGCATATACTCTATGTATATGTATATTTTTTTGTGTGTTTTTTACTTTTTTGTTGATTTCTCATTACTTAAAAGTGTGGCTGCTGCCACAACAGCGTTGTTGTCATCATCCGCGCCGCCTCCTTCAATTTTCGCTGTGTGTGCAGCCGCAGTCACGCCCGCGTGGCTGATGCCACTCTTCCGTTTAATTTGCATTTTAAACGATTTTTGCTGCACACGTTGCATCTTTCGGGGGCACGACTGCCGCTGCCGCTGCTGCTGCTGCTGCTGCCACTGCTGCTGCTGCAGTTGTTCTTGTTGCAAGTAGTGTGGTTGTTAAATTAAAATTAATTCTTTTTTTTGTTTGCATTCGCTCATAGTTTTTTTTTTCATCTTTCTTTCTTTTTTTTTTATGTTGTCTTCTTTTTTTCTTTCTTTTTTGGTATATATTTTTACATATATATATAAATCTATATATATGCTTGGGTGTATAGGGTTCTTTTTGTTTTTTGTTTTTTTTCCATACGCATATATACGTTAATTAATTAATTATAATATGTGTGTGGGAGTGTGTGTGTTTGGTTTATTGTTGGTTGCTCTTGCAGTTGCGTTGCTGTTGTCGTTACGGATTTTTCATTTGCAATGTGTAATATGTAATTTATTTGATTTATATATGTATATACGACGAGTATATGCATATAGTTGTGTGTGTATACATAATTTTAAATTATTTTTGTTGTTGCCGTTGCTGTTGTTGCTGCAGCATTACAGATACTTGTACTCCTGCGTTCATCTCTGTGTGGTGTGGTGTGGCGTGGCGTGGCGTGTATCTGTATCTCTCGGATGTTCATATCTGTGTGTGTCTGACATTGTTGCTAAAGTTGCAGTTGTAGCTGTTACTTTTGTTGTTGTTATTGCTGTTGCTGTTGCTGTTGCTGCTGTCATTGCGGTTGTCGGCGCCACCTTTTAATGGTATCCATTTGTAAATGCCGCAGGAATTAGTGGTCCCTGTAAATAAACGTTTCGTGGAGAACAAAACAAGCAAACACCAAAAATTATTCAAATAAAATGCAATTTCTATGTATCTGCACATCTACGCAGACACACACACACAAATACATGTATGTATGTATATGTACGAGTAAATATATGTATAGTAAATATATAGAAAGTAAACATTTATCGGTAGTTTGTTAGGCATAAATACATACATAAAAATATGCATTTAATATAGAAAATATTACAAGTGAAAAGTTATTGGAAGTAGACAAAAATATTCGATTGTTCAACAAATAA